ATAAAAGTATTATAAACACAAACTTATTCTATACCAGAAATTATTTTTTAAACAATTCAAAAAACATGGGGATTTATTCAAGTCATTATTTAATATTAATTAATCAATCAAAAATTAATATTAGGTATAGAGTCAAATATATGCCTCTGTCTTACCAAAAAAAAAAAAAAAAACCAGGCAAGCTGAGAGTAGTTGCATAAGCCTATAATCTCAGTGGCTCGAGAGGCTGAGGAGTAGGATCACAAGTTCAAAGCCAGCCTCAGCAACCTATCAAGGCTCTAAGCAACTCAGGGAGAGACCGTGTTTCTACATAAAATACAAAATATAGGCCTGGAGATGTGGCTCAGTGATTGAGTTCCCCAGGGTTCCATCCGTGGTACCAAAAAAAAAAAAAGTTCTGAAATAATTGGATGAGGAAAGCATACAAATACAATAAATTTACAGAAACTAGAAATGTTACCTTGTGTATTTATTTTCTTTTGATTAAAGAATTCAGAAAGAACATTAAAATATTTTTAATGTTTAAAATGTAAAATAAAACTTTAACTCCACTGCCTTCAAGTCATAAATTAAAACCAATTCATTAAATGCTATCAAAAGTGTATTAACAAAGAACTTCACAGGTGGCTCTGTTCCCCAGGGCTAGCCCCAAAACAAACCAGCTACATCAATGCAGTCTTGATTTTTACCATTTGATTTGATTCAGTACAGTTCTGTACAGTTATTATTGCTGCAGTTTCTAGAACAAGAGGGGAACCCAATAAAACTGAGTTCAAGTGACTTGACATAAAAGGTAGCAAAAATGATTAGAAACAAATAGTTCACCATATTCCTAAAATAAGTTATAGAAAATTATCACAGGATTAAATAAATTAATGTCTCCAACTCTGCCAACGATCTTACTTTAAGGAAGGGAGAGAAGCTGTTCTGGACTCAGGTGTGTCTTTTAATTGTAGTTCTCATTAACTTTATTCTGTTTCATAATAACCAGGAACAGCACAGGTGTACTCCATGTGCCTGCAGCTCCCTTGTGAGGGTAGCTGCTGCTTCCTCTTCTAAAGTTACTGAACATGCCTCCTTACCACAAGCTATTCTACTAAATCTCAGTGGAACACAGTATATGCTTTCAAGAAACTAAAGGGAGAGAAAACAAGAAACTAAAGGGAGACAGGATAAGGGCTGCATTCAGAGCCCAAGGCAGAGAGACAGACCTGCTCAATCCCCTCCCCCAACTCCTTGCTAACCCATTACAAGTTCATGATCAAAATTTTATGTCAAGTATTTCTGAAATAATACACTCATTCTCTTCAATTAAAGAATTATTTCTCCCTCAAAGATAATCTGGAGGGTCTGAGGTGTTAAAACTGAGTGGGTTTTTTAAATAGTTAACCAAATAAAGAAGCTAAACTAGAGAAGGGCGTGGTAGCGATGGCGCAGGCCTGTAATTCCAGCGAAGTGGAAGTGGAAGCAGAAGCGTAGGTAGAGATCGGAGGATCATGAGTTCAAAGCCAGCCCTAGCAGCTTAGGGAGGCACTTGCAACTCTGTGAGACCCTGTCTCTAAATAAAATCTAAAAAAGGCTGGGATGTGGCTAGTGGTTAAGCATCCCTCAGTTCAACCCTGGGTACAAAAAAAAAAAAAAAAAAGAAGCTAAAATAAAGATAGCTCATCTGAGAAATTCATTATAAACTTTCTCTTTGTTTCAACTTTCACCCATTCCTAGTTAATATTTAACTTAATATCCCCAATTTTTTAAACTTTTCTTGGAGGAACTTTGATCCTTAACGATACATAACAAAATGACAGACCTCCAGGGTCAGATGTCAGAAACAGTAAAAACTCGGTTGCAGGTAGCATCAGGTCCCCAGATGAGGACCTGAACAACAAATTCTGCTGTTCAGGAAATTCTTTCTATCAGCCCTCCACACTATTTGACCTTCACAGCACTGAAAAAGAGCTCTTTATGTTGGTGCAGTTGAGTGGATCCATCTAGCAGTGGGCTCTGCCAGGGCTCAGGGATTTATGTACAAACAGTGACAAGTCTACAGAAACCCAGATTACGAACTTAAAATATAGCACAATAATAAAACATGCACAAAAAAATAATTCTTCCTAGGGAAAGATTTAAATTACAACAGATTTCCTGACAGGCATGATGGCATATGCCTATAATCCTGGAGACTGAGGCAGGAGGATCTCGAGTTCAAACCCAGCCTCCACAACTTATCGAGGTCCTAAGCATTTGGTAAGACCCTGATACATAGATATCCAATATAGAAAGGACACATAGGGGCTGGGGATGTAGCTCAGTCGGCTGAGTGCTTGCTTCGCATGCACAAGGTCCTTGGTTCAATCCCCAACACCACAAAAAAAAAAAGAAAAAAGCACCACAAAAAAAAAGAAAAAGAAAGGACACATAAATCATCTTAGGTTGCAGGTCAGAGGATGAATGACATAACACAGTTTTTCTTTCAAAGCTCTAACTCAGGGGAAGGGGGAAATGCTGGGGACTGAATCAGAGCAAATTATATTCCATGCTTTTGTGATTATGTCAAAATGTATCCTAATGTTATATATAAGTAAAAATAATCAATAAAAATTTAAATTAAATAAAATTTTTAAAAACCTTATTGAAAAAATTTTTAAAAGTTCTAACTATGGATCTATGGGTTCAAATAGGCAATATAGTACTCAGTACCTTAGAACACCCCTATGGCCCCAAGCATTCATTTATACCTCCAGTTCTTAAATCACAATCTCTTTTTTGGGGTACTGGGGACTGAACTCAGGGGCACTAGGCCACTGAGCCACATCCCCAGCTCTATTTTGTATTTTATTTAAAGACAGGTTCTCACTGAGTTGCTTAGCACCTCACCACTGGAAAGGCTGGCTTTGAACTTGCGATTCCCCTGTCTAGGCCTCCTGAGCCTCTGGGACTACAGGCGTGCACCACCACACCCAGCTACCACCATGATCTTTTCAGGATGTTATTTGGCATCTGTAAGAATAAGAAAAAAATGAGGTTTTTGTTTTTGGTACTAAGGATTAAACCCAGGGGCACTTAACCACAATGTGATCCACATTCTCAGCCCTTTTTTACATTTTATTTAAAGACAAGTTTTCTCTGAGTTGCTGAGGCTGGCTCTGAATGCTCAATCCTCCTGCCTCAGCCTCCTGAGCTGCTGGGATTACCCAAGTACACCAAAGCACCTAGCCAAAGATGAGTATTTTCAAACACAACTAAACCAAAGACCACGTCTGCCTTTCTTCAATGGTCTAGGCCACCATAAGCTCCTCACTAGATAAAGACAACCTACATGTACTCTTGTCTCCCATGACCCACACTTCTAAATTCATTCTTCTCATGGAAGTTAGTGTGATCATTTCAAAATAATGTCAAAAAACAGCAGAAGAAATAAATAAGCAATCACCATACCTTCCTCTCCCACTTAAAGTGTGGCAATGCTTCTGACTGCTCTTAAAATAAAACTTCTTATGCATTTGTGAAGCTGGACAAGCCCAATACCATCTGGCCTCTTTGTACCATACTTATTATGTCCCTCTTCCCCATGAGTGCCAATTCCACTGACTGCCTTCCTAATCCTTTCATGCATGAAGTTCAGGCCAGCCTCCTGGCCTCTGGACTTAGTATTCTTTCTGTCACTGTATCTTGAGAAGGCTGGTTTCTTTATTTCCTTTGGGTCTTGGCTTAAATATCCCTATCTCATCACCCTAAAAATCCTACCATCAGATAATAAGCTCCATGAAGGTGGGGTCTTGATCAGTTCTGGCCCCTCATGGCCCCGACACACACACACACACACACACAAACACACACACACCACCTGCCACAGTGCCACGTACATATTGACACTCTTCACATCTGATAAATACTAAAAAGAAAAAAGAATAGAAAAATCCATAGAGACAAAGTAGATTGTGGTTGCCTCATGCTGGGTGGTTAGAAGGAAATAGGAAATGACTGTTCAATGGGTACAGTTTCTTTTTGGGATGATGAAAATCTTCTGGGATTCAATAGTGGTGATAGCTATGTAACTATGGAAATACTAGAAACCACTGAAACACAAATTTAAGTGGGTAAATTATCTAGCATATAAATTATATCTCAATAAATCTGCTATATCAAAAAAATAAAATGAGGTTGGGCACAATGGGACACACATGTAACCCCAGCTACTCCAGAGACTGGGGCAGAAGGATCAAGTTTAAAGCCAGCCTGGCAACTTAAGTGAGACCCTATCTCAAAATAATATTTTCTTAAAAAGGATTGGGGATGCAGCTCAGTGGTAGAGCACTTGCCCAGAATATGAAAGGCCCTGGGTTCAATCCCAAGTACCATAAAAACTAATTAATTAATTTAATTAAAAACAAAGAAAAAATGGAAGGAACAAAGCAAGAATGGGAGAGGGGATGGAGAGTATTGATGAAGTTTCAGGTTAATCATTGTTCTTGGTCTGACATGGTGGTGCACACCTATAACCCCAGCAGCTTGGGAAGCTGAGGTAGGAGGATAGTGAGTTCAAAGCCAGCCTTGGCAACTTAGCAAGAATCTAAGCAACTCAGCAAAAACCTGTCTCTAAATAAAAAATATTTTAAAAGGCTGGGGATGTGGTTCAGTGGTTAAGTACCCCCTGGGTTAAATTCCGAGTATCAAAAAAAAAAAAAAAAAAATGTATTCTATGAGAAACTGATGAAAACCATGAACATTGTCACTCCTCTGAAAACCTGTACGGGATATCTGGTTTCTATAGGCCACCCTGATTTTAAAAGAAAAAAGAAGAAGCTTTAGAACATAGTATAAATAGTTGAAAAAAAAATAAGTTAATTATTTATCTTTCAAGTGCTCCACATGGATTAACAAAAACGAAGATATTACAAATACCTTCCTTAGGAAGAAACAACGGCCCACATCGTGAAGATTAAGAACACAATTTAAAGGCCAAGTGATCCTTTCTCGTGCCAGGATCTGAGCATAATCACCTTTGCAAGACCTGCTCGGTGGGCTCCTTTAGACTCCATGTATGCAAGATATTTGTTGAACTCCCGGAACTCCTCCATGGAGGGTCTGAAGGTCATTATTTTACAGCTGGGATTCAGAGGACTGTCTGCCTCCACCACCTCCATGATGGCTTAGGGCAGTCTCTGCAGAGAGAAGGACACAGTCATTGGCACTGTATTATGTGTGTTAAGGTCAGTGGTATTTTTCTCCCAAATAAAATGTAGGCACCCTCAGCAGGAACTTTGCTCTTTTAGATATTTCCACTCTATTCCACCCTCTTATAGGGACTCATACATTTCTCCCTGGGCCCTGGGAAAAAGAAAAGATAAAAAAAAAAAAAAAAAAGTTTCTAGTCTCCTCTTGCCAAGTTCCTATTCTTGGCACTGAATCACTGAACTGTACTGCTGGCCTCTCAAAATCCTTCCAAGTAAAAATGAATTTTCTAACCCTGTAGGTTCACATAAGGTGTTGTTCTGAAAGACTCCCTCATACTCATATGTACACATGTATAAAAGTTTCATCTAGGTTGAGTGGAGGATATTCACCATCCCTAGCACAACTTGACTCACATGTCCTTCCAGCTTGTCATAACAAGCTTTTCTATAATAATGTACACATCAATCGTTCAACAAAACCACCAGGCCACATGCTTAAGTACTAGAAAGAGAGAAATGGGTAAACTCTTTACCTTCCAAGTTCACCGTCCAGAAACTGAACAAAAAAAAATTTTTTTAAGTATACAAGAAGAAGCAATTAAGTTCACCTAGACTAATCAGAAATCACTTCCTCAGAAAGGAGCAGAGTTAAGACTTATAAGCAGATACAGCAGCTGATCAGATGACAGAATGAGCACTCCAGGTAGCAGAGAATCTAGAAATACTGCAGAATGGAGAGGAGTCTAGTGTGTCTGGAGCTTAGAAGCAAAAATTACAGAAGGGAGGTTTTTCTACAAAAACACCAACCTCATCTTGCTGCAGATAAATGAGATGATCCCTTCAACAATGTTCACTCAGTACGTAACATGTGCCAAGCATGGGGAATGCAAGTACATAAAAAGTACTGGTAATACTGGGATTGTAGCTCAGTGGTAAATAACTTGCCTTGCATGCGTGAGGCACTGGGTTTGAATCTCAGCACCACATAAAAATAAAGAAAGATACTGTGTCTATGTACAACTAAAAAAAAAAAAATTTAAACTAAAAACATAAAAAGCACTGGAGTGACTGTCTCAGTAAGGAATTCCACCCCAATCCACATGTAGGTTCAGTGATAGGATCTGGCATCTGACAGCACAAATCAAATCTTCTTGAAACAAGCTTTCTTTCCCCCGCCCCCGCTTTTTTTTTTCTTAATAAATTTAACTTCCTTGATAGATAGATTAAGAGGTGAAGGATGGGGCAGATAAAAGAGGAGGACATGTTCTGGGATAATAAGAGATGTAAAAAAGTAGTGAAGTGGTAACTATTTACTTAAAGAAAATTTAAGTGCACATGGCTGGGGATGTAGCTTGGTGATAGAACACTTGTATATGCCACATGCTGGGTTTAATCCCTAGCAGAAAGGAAGGAAGGGAGTTTAAATGAGCCATCTATCTCACAATATTTGTAGTGAGGAGATACAGGAAACATAAAAATTAAACCCTGCCACCCTTTAGGAATTTACAATATAAAGGAGAAAAAATCTGCATGGAGATATATTAATAAATAGCAGAAAATATTTTGGATTCTCCTTCCCTCAAAAAGGAAACACACAAAAGAAAAAAATTGAGGTCCTCCCTACCCAATCTCCCTTTATATAAACATAGGCACACATATGCAAATCCATGACCTGTAGAATGAAACTCTCACTCTACACAGTAAGCATGTAATTATTTACAAGCAGCTGAATCTGGCCCTTGCGTAACTTTGCCTTGTCCACCGTCAGTGCCTACATCATAGTTGTCCCTCTGGATCCATAAGGGATTGGTTCTAGGACCTCTCCCCTATGATTTAAAAAAAAGAGAGAGAGAGAGACATTAATTTGCTTCACTAGTAAAGAATATTAGAATAGAAATTCTGGTATACCAGAATCCTAGGATGCTCAAGTCCTTTATATAAAATGGCTTAGTATTTGCATATAACTCACACACAACCTCCTGTATACTTTAAGTCTTCAGATTACTTATAATACCTGATATAACACAAATGCTAAGTTAATAGTTTTTATACTGTACTGTTTAGGGAATAGTAAGAAGACATGTTCAATACAAAATTTTTTTCAAATATTTCTGATCTGCACTTGGTTGAATTCACTGAAGCACAGAGCACTCAGATACAAAGAGGCAACTATATTTTACACTCCAACAATACTCACTGACTTGTGCTTCTCTAACAAGTTAAAGCTCTCTGTGCCTCTGCCCATTTTCCCTCTCCTTGGAGTACCCTTTGCCTACTTCCTCACCTGGCAAACTCCCACCCACCCTTGAAATTCCCAACACTCAGGAACTACCTGGATGAAACACTCATGGTCCAACCTCCCTCCTCTGCATCCTTCATTATGGCACTTGCCTCTCCCAACTGTTGGCAATTCCAACCACCCACTGAACTATCAGCTTTCAAGGGAAAGGCAGGTTCACCATCTCTTTGAACCCTGGCATATAGCCTGGCACCCAGCCTGGCTCACAAGGTCTGCTGCAATAATTATTTGCCAGCTGAATGATGGAAGAGGCACCTAAATGCTAAAGTATTTATATAAAATGATACCAAATTCAAAGAAAGGAAAGCATTAATCCCAAACACAGAAATGTTATTTAAAAAAAAAAAAAAAGAGATTCATTTGCTTGACTGGTAAAAATTATTAGAATAGAAAAATCTGAGCAGTAAGAAAAAGGAAGAAGCCCACAGAAACATTTGGTCCATGAAAAGTAGGGTTCCTTTCCCCCTGGCCAAAGTACATGAGTGGCCTGAGTATTCCTCAAGGCAGAAGAAGCTACTGACAAAGAAATTGGAAATTCATCCAGTCATTTGCCAAATAATTACTGAATGCCTAAATGCTGGGCAGTCAGTCAGTAAGTCCTCATTCTAATGGAGTGAAACAGACAATAAGTAAGTAGTAAATTCTGCGAAGAAATACAAAGGGGAGGGTTACTGTTTCACACAGAGGAGGCCAAAGACAGCATTTTAGAGAAAGTGAAATTCAGGAAAGGCCTGAAGAAGGGAATTAGTCATTCAAATATCTGGAAGAAGAGCATTTTCAACAGAGGCAACAGCAAGGAAGGAGAATTTGGGTGCTGTAAGAAATAGCAAGGATGTGGGAGAGCGCTCGCCTAGCACGGGTGGGACCCAGGTTCAATCCTCAGCACCACATAAAAATAAAGGTCTTGTGTTGTGTCCATCTACACCTAAAAAACAAATAAATAAATAAATAGCAAGGATGTGATATATACTGGGAACTCGGTAATCAAGAGTAAAAACAATGAGAGGAAAAAACGGGAGAGGAGTTTGGCAAGCTACCTTCAGTGGGATAAGAACCTTGGGCTTCTTCCCCTTTTATCTATCCAGTTCATGGAAATCAAACATGCATTTTTCTTTCAAGGAAATGACTGTTTTCTAAGGTAACTTCTAGAGGACCTGGAGCAGAAAAGTTTACTGGCTCACACTTAGTATTATTGTGACTGTTGTATAAAGAAGGACAATGACAGAAGCAGAGAGAGGAGCAAGTAGGTGATTTACACTAAACCAGACAATATAAAAAGGCAGCTTCAACCAGGGGTGGGCAATAAGAAGGGATCAGATTGCAGAATATGATATACTGTGAACAAAATTTCCTAACAGAAGTGAAAAGAACAGGAGTCAAGATTTCTGGTTTATGCAACAAATCAGTGGCTCTGACAAGAAAATGAAGCAGAGACTATTAAGACATTAAAAAATTGGTCTGGGGATGTGGCTCAAGCAGTAGCGCGCTCACCTGGCATGAATGCGGCCCGGGTTCGATCCTCAGCACCACATACAAACAAAGATGTTGTGTCCACCAAAAACTAAACAATAAATATTTAAAAATTCTCTCTCTTTAAAAAAAAAAAAGACATTTAAAAAATTAAATCTCAGCCCTTGACACAGTTTGCTAACTGGAATAGAAAATATACTTTCTTTCTTCCTAGCATAACTACTCAACTACACAAAAATAGTTATGCCTACAAATCAGATAATCAGATTGATATGGTTTAGATGTGCGGGAGGTTGGGGGTTTTGTGGGGGAAGGGTAGCAGGGATTGAACACCATCCCAGCCCCCCTTTTATGTCTCATTTTAAGACAAATCTCACTTGTTGCTTATGGCCTCAATAAGTTGCTGAGGCTGGCTTTGAACTTGCAATCCTCCTGCCTCAGCCTCTCAAATCAGTGGGATTATAGGCATGCACCAACACACCACATTAGTTTTGGTCTTTGACCTTTGATTTGACCTTAGGTTTTTAAATTTTCCAATCTATAAAGTCAATATATGTTTATCATAAAATTTAAAACACATAAAGTTAAGTAAAATTTTAACCCCACTACCTAAAAAAAGTTTGATATTAAATTTGATGTTTTTGATTATTGGTAGCATTGATGATTTTTGGACACAAAACCATTTTCATTTCTTTTTTTTGGGTTGACTATTTATGTTCATTACGAGAGAGAGAGGAGAGAGAATTGTTTTTTAGTATTTTATTTTTCAGTTTTTGGTGGACACAACATCTTTACTTTTATGTGGTGCTGAGGATCGAACCCAGGGCCCCGCACATGCCAGGCGAGCGCCTTACGGCTTGAGCCACATCCCCAGCCCTATGTTCATTACTTTAACAGGCAGTTTATAGGGGGCTGGGGTTGTGGCTCAGTGGTAGAGCACTTGCCTGGCATGTGTGAGGCCCTGGGTTCGATCCTCAGCACTGCATATAAATAAATAAAAAATCCATTTACAACTAAAAAAAAAAAAAAAAAGTAGTTTAAAGGGCTGGGGTTGTAGCTCAGTGGTAGAATTCTTGCCTAGCATGTTTGAGACACTGGGTTTGATCCTCAGAGCCACATAAAAATTAATAAATAAATAAAGGTGTTGTGTCCATCTGCAACTAAAAAAAGAAAAATTTTTAAAAGCAGTTATGGGGCTGGGATTGTGGCTCAGCAATAG